TCTTCCGATCTCCCCAAAACCCCAAAACCCCAAAACCCCATCCAAAATTATAATGAAATATATTTGAGATATTAATTTGATATTTATGTAATATTTATTATTAAATTAAAAAATATGGATATCCTCTTACTAGGAGCACCAAAGTAATTACTATATTTCTCAAAAGATTGACTTATTAGATCAGGAAAAACTTCAATTCAAAGAGTAGTCTTTCAAAAAATGTCTCCTCATGAGACATTTTTCTTGACCCCATCTTCGAAAATGGAATAATTCCGTAAGTAATTCATGCTAATTAAATCTATACTCCTTAATCCCATTAATCATGGTTAAGAATAATCTTATTTATCGATACTCATAGAAATTGACAATAACCCTTATATTCAATTCCAAATCAAAGACTTCCCAGGCAATCAGGAACTAAAGGAGACAAACGCTGTAGATATCTAAACAATCAAAGGTTGCGGGTCTTTACTTTATGTGATTGATGCTTAGCAGTAGGAATACGAGCAACCTTGTACAAAACTGAGAGATATTATCAAGACTTGCCACGCTATTAACAACAAGATTAGTTATGATGTATTTATCCACAAAGTTGACACAGATATGTTCTTATTGGATGATTAAAAAATGGATTGTCTAAATGATATTCAAGAGTTGATGAAGCAATTATTGATGGACTATAATCTATCAGTATCACTTTCATTCTACTTGACTTCTATTTACGATCACACTATCTACGAGTCTCTTTCAAAGGTTATACAGAAACTTCTTCCACAAGTAGGATTCATCTCAGCTATGATTGATAACCTAATCAGTAACTCAAAGATCGAGAAAGCCTTTCTCTTTGATGTGATCAGTAAAATCTATATTGCCACAGATAGTAATCCTGTGGAAATGAAACACTATGAAATCTGCTCAGAGCTTATAGATGTTCTAATTGATGTCTCTTGCATATATGGGTAATATAACTTTTCTTTTCATACTTATCAATAGCATTGATGAACATGCAGGTACTTTAAAATTTGACAAAGAGTCTTCAAGCATCATCAAATTGAATCACGCAGGCGGTAGTGAAGAGAAAATCGTACTTTATCTAAGAGAAGTTGATAAGTGTCTAGCTTTAGTGTGCCTTATAAATGAGAGAGAATTCCATAAATAACACTTAATTAACTACAACATCGATAAGTTCAAGGAAGGACTCAGAAAGATCTTTGAAGCTGCTAAGAATGCCAAGAAACTGTAGTGAGCAGAAGGTTATATAAAGCAGGTCAATTCATATCGAAAATATTCTTCAGTTAACATTATAAACCTAATGTTTATAACTTAAAATATCTTTGATGTAATTGAATACCATGGGGTTTTGGGGTTTTGGGGTTTTGGGGTTTTGGGG